CACCACTTCACATCCCTGCCCACCACTGCAGGGCTCCAGTTCTTCATTGGTGGCTTGGACTTTTGTTGTCTTTCTGGAGCTCTGACAATGTGAAGTTTGCATGTTACTTTGCCGGTCTGAGTCTTTGCCTAGGACTCATCCATCACTTTGCTAGTTAAAACAGAGCTGCTTGTCCAGAGGAAGTCATTTGTCTCTCACGAAAGAGTCACCGTCCCACCCCTGCCAACCACTCTGTTGCGGTGCAAGTGAATCCATTAGCTTCCCTGGAAAATGCATCATCTGATGCTGGGACTAAACTTTAGACTAACAAACCCCTTGAGAGGACACGAAGGAACCATCTCTGTCACGGTGCTCAGTGCTCAGGTCAAAGCCTGACCTCTCTTTCCATTAAATCTTCAGGATCTATGTTTAAGGGAAAACATAAATTAGCAGCAAGTGTAGGTTTGGTGACCAGAGTCAGTGTCCTGATTTCCAACCTCACAAGCAGGCTCCTGAAGCCCACTGCTGCCTCTACACACTCCCTTCTTGCTCTACATAAAGGAAAGAGGGGAGGAAACGTCTCTTGGAGGTGAATGGCTGAAAAGACCCAGAAATAAACTCTCCAAGCAGTAAGAAGCTAGGAACCAGCCACTCATGCCACAGTGTCCGGCAGCCCTGGAAGCTCCACACCATGTAGAAGCAGTGCTGAGGGCAAGGCTTCAAAGCAAACACCCCAAACTCACATTCACATTCATTTTCTCCATGCTTAAGCCTGTCTTCTAACATTAACAATGCCTTCTAGGTGGGTTCCTCCACCGCACAACATCTTCATCACTGGACCGCAGTCTTCCTTGATTGCTTATGACAAATGGAAGGACCTACCAACTGCTACCCCTTCAAGTATAAACTCCCATGTGCAGCCAGGGGAAGCTGTTTGTCAGGGTATTTCACCCACTAAACAACAGCGTGTTGGAATTTGGGGCTGGGAAGTTTTCATTCACATTGGTTTTAGTTTCACACCAGTGGAAGAGAAGATCGTTTACCTCTCACGTTGAATGATAATGGGGCTTTTCCTATTATTTTGGAGTTTTTCTAAAATTTAACAGCCAAAGAGTTAAAAGTATTGATCATCCAAAAAGCTGAAAGAACCCTAACACAATAGGTGTTCTGCTCACCAAATTATTCCTTTTCTTTTTCTTTCCCCAGGTATTTTGCTCAAGCAGCAAACTCCAAATTATTCATATAAAGTCTAAATCAAAGAGGAGAAGGAGAAACTTTCCCCCTCTATCTGATCAGGAAGTGAACAGTTTGTTATTATATGCATTGGAAAAAAAAAAAACCAAGAAAAATTAAGAATAAAGGTAATTATAAAAATCTTAAGAATTAAGAAAAATCAAGAATTAAAGATAAATATGTCTCTAGCTAGTGTACCATAAGGCAATAGAACAGGTTTCTAAGATCCCTAATGAAATAAGAGGCATCTTTGAAAGTTCATTCCTGGGCTTTCTGGGATAGAGCTGTGAAAGCAAATGATGGCTGCCTTGAGACAGAGGTTGTAACAGATTCAGATTTAAAGACAACGACTTTATTTTCCTATGGCCTTGAGGGGATTAAGATAGGAGAGGAGTCCTGCCTCACCACTGGAGATATAAATCCTGGAGGGTCACTCTGTAGCCATCTGTCAAACGAGAGGAAGGGAGGAGGCAGAGTCATTTTCAGTAGTAAATTTTGGGAAGAACAAGCACTAATGGCCTAAAATTAAGAAAGAAAAACATCGGGCTAAAGAGTAGGAAATGCTTTATAATGTTAAGGTCAGGCAGACAATGGAGAAACCTGTCAGGGGAGGTCAGGGGCTCTCCAATAACGGAGATGCTCATGGACGGAGCCGTGAAACAGAGGCTCTGCTGAAATGCTCATCCCTCAAGCCCCTTGGATGGGGTTACCCCCATGGGGATGCACGTGATCCCCAAAGCCTTTTGGAGTAAAATGCAAAGCTTCTGCCCAGCTTTTCTGCTCTTTCCCATCCAGGAGCAAGGTGCAAGGAAGGGCAGGGGGGGGCTTGGCTGCAGCCCGCTCCCCTTGAAAGCAGGAGAGATCTGCCCCAGCTGTTCCCCTTTCCAAAGGAAAACAGAGGCTGCCCGAAGAGGTGGGATCGTCTGGATGGGGAAGGAAGAAAGAAGCCTTTCAGCAGAGCCCTCCCACCAGGAAACCGGGAGAGCGATGCAGCAGGCACAGGATGAGCCGGGGTGCCTGGGGGTCCATGCGGATGCCAGCGCAAGCCGTTTTCTTAAGGCTGTCACGTTGATTTCCTCCCGGCTCCCCGCACGGACACCTGCGGTCTGTTACACCACACATCATTATATTATTGCAACTTATGGTGTCCATCATCACCCCCAGGCAATCACTGTGGAGCCAATGATAAATGATACACAGGCGGTTTATTATACACACTAAATCCTCTTCACTTGGTGGTCCAAGGGTGTACCTAATACATTCTGCTCCTCTTCTGCTTGGATTTGAGTTGTGGATCCATTTAATACCTTTATAGCAAATGCTGAATAGGTGTTAAAAAACCATGCGTTGCACCTAGAGTGATTGTTTCCTATCACCTCCTGTGTGGTGAGAATCCACTCAGCACTATGATTTTTCTGCATTACTAGAAAACCTGGCCATGTTAGAAAAACTAACTAGCAGAAGTGGGGAATGCCACTCTGACAGCCCAAAGCTCTCGGTAGAAAGCTGCTGGAGATCTGACAGCAGCTGGAGGGGAAGGAAGGAGATGCTGTGATAGCTGGCTGAGATCACAGGTGGCATTTAGGGAAATCCAAAACAACTCACTCCCGTTGGAATATGACCGTGCAGGGGCCAGGATGCTTGTTTTTTATAGGAGGGATAACGAACAAGTATAAGAAATTAAAATCCTGGCTATGGGTCTGGCCTGAAAAAGAGCACAGGAACACACATCTGCATCCTTATGTCTGCCCTCTCCTCTAAGAGTCCTTCCTGCTTTGACGTGCTGTCCAAAACACCTCCTGAAGTGGGCTGTTGAGGGCAAGGGAGCGTTTCTAATGTATAAGGTGTAATTAAGTGCTGGTAACACATAGCAGAGGGCACAACTCAAAAAATCACAGACTCCTTCCTCCAAGTGCACCCTCCAGCACCATCAGAGCAGGTTTCCACCAGCCCACTTGAGAAGGCATTCCACACACATGTCCCTCCTTGCCAAGAAGCGAACAGGAAGGATTTTTCCATGGCACTGCTGTCACTCAGGCATTTTGAGAGGCTGTTCCCGGTTTTCCCCCTCCTGTACCAGATCCTCACTGCCGGGGTGGTCCAGGACAAAGCCGGTGAAAAGATGCCTGGTCATGGTTTCTCGGCTGGGGAAGCCAAGGGTACTACAGAGGATGCTGAAGGAGGAGGACAAGGAATGCAGAATTATTGCAGGAGGTCATGGGAAGCCCGCGAGGGGAATCCAAAGAGGGTCAGATGGGATGTCAGGGAGGATTTTTGCAGCTGCTTTTGGACAAACTGAGAGCACAGAGGGGGTGTCAGAGCGCCGGTGCCTTCCGCTTGGGTGTAGGTATGGAAATGGCTGGGTTTGCAGATGAGCAGGAGGGGAATTAACAAGCAGGGTGAGCGTTAACCAGGAGGCTGAGGAGAAAGGAAGAACTTCAGAGGAACAGCACAGTCTGCTGGACTAAGGGGCAGCTCTTTCTTCTCTGAGAGCTTTGTTTCTGTCCGGCTCCGGGGGGAGGAGAGTTGGCCTACAGCTACAGCAGTAACTTTGAGTAACTTCTCAGGAAACAGCTTATTTAGATAGCACTGCCTATTCTTCAGAGGAGAGGATAGAAGAACATATTGCCTGTTACTAATGAATGGCTTTTCCACAACTAATGATGTTTACAGGGATGGATACGCCAAGGTCTCCAGAGTATCTCCACTAATAGGATGGATTTTGGCGCCAAGAAAGCATGGCTTTTTCACACACGCACACCCCGATAGGAGAGAGTTAAATATCTTCTCTGTTCTTAATGGAAAACTAAGCAGGCATGACGCATCTGTTTAGAAGACGTTTTTCTTATCTCCAGGATCGAAAAGAATTCCAGAGCTCAAAGACCAGAAACTGAGAGCAGTTCATTCACTGCCAACACAGGCAGGCCAGAGGAGTTCAAGTTGAACATAAGCTAAGGGTTGGACTCTCTACCCACTGCAGTAAATAGATTGTTTCCACTGGCTGCAGTAGGAACAACTTTAGGCCTTGGTTTCTCTACTCAATTTTGCAGTAAATAAAAGCTTCAAGCAGAACCCATTAAAGCTGTTTTGATTTCTGGGCTCCAGTTCTTCCAGAAGTTAACTCTTCTAAAATTCAATATACACAAATGCTTTTTGGCTGGGTAGGGGAAGAATTCAAATCATCAGATGTTCATCTTAACCTTCTGGGTCAAGGATTTCCCTCTAATGGGGTCTGTGAATTTGCCACCCCAGTCTGGAAAAGGCTTAAGCAAAGCATTTCCAGAGGTAATAAAGATTTAAAGGGGGAAAAAAACCCAAACAAGCAAAAACATAAACACAAAAACGCAGAAAACTTTTCATGAACTTTGGCAAATTGTGGTGTCCATATTCTGCTGAATTTTTGCACAACAGGAGCTGATGCTCAGCCTCAAACCCAGGTTCCCTTTGCATCTCGATCCACAAAGCCGTGCTGTTAGGAGCTGGTTTCACATAAGCCATGTTTTCAGGTGTGAACTGAGTTCAGACCCCAAACCCCACTCTCTGAATGACCTAAGGTCTCTGGGCTAAGCTTCTCCTCTCAGGCATATAACTGCAAAGCAGAACTGAAGTCACTAAGACCTTGCAAATGTGCCTTTGGCAGAGACCAGCCTCCCCACTGCTGCTTCCCCAGCCCAGCTCAGGATGCATCTCTGTGCTCAGTACTTTTACACACAGCAATACTCAGCCAAACCTCTTCTTTACAAAGCAGTCACTCAGAAAGAAAGCAAACAAAACTTAATAGCTGCTACCTTGAAGAAGTCAACTCCATATTCCAAAACAGGGTAGGTCTGTAACTCAAAATTGTTGGCTCTGGGAATCTTTATCATGGCTGGATTTTTGCTGCATCTGGTTGAGCAAGTTTTTATAATGTCATTTCTGATCAAGGTAGTTTTCAGTAACAACTTTCAGCATATTACAGGTCAAGGTTAAGAGGGAAAGGGAAATTGCAAAGGGGAGGTGCTGTTGCTGCTCTTTGAGGTGGTAAGGGCTGCAGGGCTTGTTCAGAAAGTAAAGGCATTATTGTAATTCAGAGGAGCTGTTACAAGGAAAGGGAAAAGAAGCATTTGGGACAGTGTTAGTAAATTACAACAATGTGCAGCTGCCTGGAAATGAACCGAACACCAGCTCTAAAACCATCCGTAGCGAACTGATTTCAAATCATTAGCTGTTTGGTCCAGCCTATTACAGCAAAGGCTGGTTGTCTTGTGGAAACACACTGTGCGTTTGGAAAGCAGTTTAACTGAGTCTGGAAAACATCTTGCGAACCAGGATCTGTCTCCCAGCAGAGTCAAAACTTACATAAACCTTTCACTTATGCTGGGCAGGTTGAGAGCAGTCCTGCCGTGTTGAATAGTAACTCAAACCACATTCGCAGCTTGACCCTGCAGCATCGTCCTCTCCAAGTCCACAGGGCCCACGTGAAGAAGCTTGAGCTCACAGATGCTCACCATGGTGCGGGGACCAGAATGGGTGACACAGGCTTTGCAAAGCACAAAGGCACTTTTCCTCACCCACAACAATATGGAATGAATGGATCAGACGTCCAAGCTAAATCCCCAGGCTAAGCCAGTGTGATGCATTTAAGATGCATCAAATGATTTCTTGCCCTGTAATCCTGTGATGTTTCACGACCTCTGAAACACTGAAGACCAGCTTGAGAAGCCAAACAAGCATGTCTGTGATTCATTCTCATTAGAAAATATAAATAGAAACCACGTTTCACCAAGGCAGAGGCAGGACCCCTAATTTCCCAGGCTTGAATCCATCGGGCTGGAAACAGATTTAACGAGCTTGGAGGGTGAAAAAGCACCCTCTGCTTTTAGGTATTGGTTTATTGGGTTTCTTGTTCAGGACACCCTGAACTTCATTTCTGAAGATGTCAAGGACTTCTAGCTCCTGCTAATTTGATGCTGAGTTGTGACTGTTCATCGCTTTGAAGAAAGATCACGCTCCAGGGAGGCATTCTAGGGAGTCTGTGGGAGTTTTGCCATTATCTTCGACGTAACCAAGACTTTTGTTCTAAAACTCAGCTCTTCAAAACCAGGAAATTGTAGCACTCAATACTAAAAGTATTGCAGGGCAAAAACACTGCAACGTGAAGCTGTGCCAAATCAGCGCATCTTTCTCAGAGGTGTGGGTGGAATTAGTAGCTGAATTTGGAGATGTAATGTAAATCCAGCAGAGGGGCACTTTGGCTGTTAGGTACCCTCAAGGACATTACTTGACTTGCTGCGATTCCATTTTTTCCATGTCCAGTCTTCCATGCACTTTGGGATATGCCCAGCCTCAGGCAGTGAAAAGGATTTCATTAACATTTTATATTTGCTTACCACTGTGCATCTGATTTCAGGTGGAATCCCAAAAACATTCCAGAAATGGAGAAAACTCCAAAGGCAGAAATGTCAGATGCAGAAGTATACAAACCCCAGACTCAATGGTGGCACCTATGAATGCAATAATGAGCTGATTAAACCCCTTTGCATTGAGCTTGCAGAAGTCATTGAAGTCAAAGCCATAGCACTGGCAGATGTGTTACCATGACCTTCTCTCTAAACAGGAGTGGAATCCTCCTGTGGACATAGCAGAGGTTTTCCCCCTCTCAATCTGATCCCCTGTCTAGTGGATTGCTAGCATTAAGAAGGATTTATCACTTAAATGTACTGAACACATAAAGGGATGGTCAGTGAAACGGAAAGGTTATGAGTGGAATAAAAGAATGAGATTTAGCTAGCAAGGGGAAGCAGAATAAGAGATACAGCCTAAATATAAGAGGCAAACCAGTAAGCTGTCAGAGTATTTGATGTAATTTAACATAGATATATAATATTTAGAAATAATTTAAGATATCTAGCTGTATAATATTGCATCTAATCTAGAGAGAGAGAATATATAATAATCTATAATATTTATATATGATTATTATATATAAGTATACTAGAAATATAATAGAAATATGGAAATAAATATTATATGTGTATTTTATATATATAGAGAGAGAGAGTGGAAGAATATATATAGAATATAGAGTGGAGGAGCCTTCATTTTGAGCAGATACAGCAGGCTGGCATTCCATGCACATGGCTCACCCTTCAGTGCACACTGAGATGCTAAATGCCTGGTGCCCACCTCAGCCCCACATGGTCCCTGAAAATCATTTGGGCCTCAGTAACCAAGCTGCTTTTGTTACCGGTCTGGTATTTGTGAACTGTCTCCCAGTTGTAATCTTTTGGTTTCTGGGATCACCTTACAACCACAATTGGATTTCAGCAGCATGCGGCAATAGCCTGACTCCCAGCGTTATACCAAGATGTTTTCTTAGCTGCATTTTCTGTTTAGTCTGAGTTCCACATAGTTTGGGGTTTAAGAAAAAAAAAAAAGCACAAAAAAAGGCAAAAATAAAATTGGAAAAAAAGAAAACCCTCAGGTAGTTCAAATAACCCCTGTGTCCGTATCCTTGGAACAGGGCCTGCTTTGCTCACAGCCCCTCCAGATTTGGAGGATTATTTGCCTCTGCTATAGGCAACCAGCATGATGTTAGCAGCAGAGATTGCTGTGTTCCATTCATGGCAGTGCCCTGGAAGCCCTCCCTCCCCTCCACCACATCCCCAAGGGCCACCAGTGCCCACCAGCAGCCCCAGGGAGCTCTTAGCCAGTGCAGAAGCGTTTGAGAGGGCCAGGAAAAAACCAGCTCTGCCCAAAGAGCCCCCCAAGGCATCCTCAGGGCCTCAGAGGGTGCTCTTTCTGCATCAGAGGCAACTAATGGGCAGAGCACTGACCTGGCCCTGAACGGTGTCCTTTGGATGCCAGATGACCCCAGGGCAACATCGCCCTGCTGCTCCATGACCTGGTTTCCCTGGGTGTAAAAGGCAGAGCTGACATTTAACCTTATGTAAAGTGCCTGACGTTCCTCTATGGGAAATGCTGCCTCGCTGCTTTAGCACTGCAGGGGCATGGCTGCACATCACCTCAGTGCCATGCATCCTCGGGCATGCCCAAGGATGCTGCTGTCAGCCCAGCTCAAGGCTGTGCCATCGCCACCAACCGATGTGAAAATACAGCAGAGTTAATGGGATGTACAGCACAATTCTCTCACACAGAGAGGCACTTCAGATACCAGCTGCTTTGAATTTCATGTGTGCTTGTGATAATTAATCTTTAATGCCTTCTGCTGCCCACAGAACCTCTGATTTTTAAGAGTAAAAGCAAGCCCAAAACTCAGACTCACAAGTATACGGAGGGTTTGCAGCCAGCGGGCTGAAAGAAGCGCACACAGAGCACAAAAATTGACTCTTTCTGTCACTAAGGCAGAAATAACACAGCTAGATCTCTGTGAAAAACCACAGCCCAGATGAATCAATCCCTACCACAAGCAACCAAAGAAGACATTAAGTCTTCAGGCTGCAGGGAATTGCCAGAAGCCAGGAATGCCGCACCAGCTTTGAAGACTAATCGTCAATGACAGCAAAATTTGATGATACCCTTTCAAATTCTCCCTGTGAATTAGGGATCACTGAAATGCCTAGGAGGATCTCCCTTTGCTGAGGGTATGGCTGATGGGATGCAGAGAGCAGGGTGATCCTCAGCAAAGGGAACACAACTTTATCCCTGCCAGCATCTTTACCCCCATCCTTACGTGGGTGCCTTTCATATTGCAATGATGAGCTGGGACAGAAAAAATGGGTCATAATTTGTATATATTGAGGCTGTTTGACAGGTAGGAGGCTGTCCCCACTTAGTTTTGGGGAAAAATCAAAGTATTTTGCATGTGGTTCCATATTCTCTTGGATCGTACCTCTGTAGCGTGCAGAGTCAGATGTGGGTTTTGTAACTGGAGTAAATGCAGACCCAGCTGCTGGAAAGCTTGCAATCCAAACCACTCTGGTGGAAAAAAACATCCCTTGCAGACTACCAGGGAGCCCGTGAGCAGCCTCAGACCTGTCAGAGAGACAGCCTAAAAGCATTTGAATCCAGCTGATGGGAAGAAAAGGCACTTATAGAGCAGAAAGGACAGGATTCATCTAGGAAAAGATGCTTGACACAGTTGCCACCTCTGTCTTCGACACTGGGTTTGGTATCACCTTACTGGCACCCACCTCTTTACCTATTCCCAACGTGCCACAGGCTCTGGGACCCTAGGAGGGAGAAATGAGGAAATGCCACCAGCATCCCCATCACACACCCATGTGCTTCAAAGCAGCATCTTAAAGGCCTAGAGGAAAAGCTATAAACAACCCCTGTGGGATGGTTTGAAGGCTGGTTTCAACCCATGGCCCTGATTTCATACCTCCCCACTTTCCCTTCAGCAAACTGCCTGGACCAAGCCTGTTGACAAAGCTGGGGTGTTCAGATCATGGTCTGCATCTCCAGCTACTAATACAGCCAAAGCGCATCACCGCTCCTTCTGCGTCATCTCCCCCTTGCTCGCCCATCCTCCCCAATGCCCCTTGCTTTTCTCTCCCACAACCCTGAAAATGCCTTTTTTTGTCCTTTTTAAGAGCCTCCTCATTGTTCCTGGCAGGATGGGCAGAGCAGCAGGCCGCACAATGCAAGTGCCCTTTTCTCAGGATGTACGTTGGTCATCCTAGGGCAGGAAAATGCTTACGGTGGGGCTTCCTCAGCAAGCTGCCTTCGGCGCCTCATTTTCCCTCCCCCTTCTCAGCAGACTCTCACGCTGCCCCTGCTTGTTTGATTACCAGCCACCCTTGGTATGGAGTCGCTGTAGGCAACCAAAACGCTGTGCATCATGCACAGATTCATGCAAGACCCCATCAACATTCAAACCCATCACTCTCCACAGGTAAATGCTCTTCTCTCCCAAGACCATGTCACCCAGTGCTGGAAGAGTAACCCCACAACACCAAGAGTGTTGTGTCCATCTCATCTGATGACAACAGCCTCCATCCCCACTGACGTAATGCATGTAGACACCGGTGCAGTAAATGAGTGCTGGAGTCCTTTCATCGCTTGCCAGCCTTTGTCCTTGGGTACGCATGAAACTCCTGGGCATCCTGAGCTTGGGGCCAGAACTGGTCTCCATCTGCTCGGTGGCCCTTGGATCAAAGGGCTCTCTGGATATGCAACCCCACACCCACAATACACTCTGCAAATGACATTAAGTGGAGATATATAATTGGTGATTAGGACCGCATGGTTCAGAACAGTGTGTACCAGTGCTGAGCACAGCATCAGCCTCATGTCGTAGACATCCTCCCTGGGGGCTTGTACAATGCAAGGCACTCACCCTCCTCCCAGACGTCACTGTTCCTCATAAAACCAGATCTGAAGTGTCTTTTTACATCTTTCAGGCTTGAGTTCACATCCTAAAAAGGTTCCTGGTAAATCACTCATGATACCAAAGCCCAGCCTACAATAAATGGTGGGCTTCTGCTGTTGCAGTCCCATGTCAATCCCAGACACCAGTTGTCTACTAAACAGAAACAACGTTATGGCTTGAGCAGCTCAGGGTACAACACAGACCATGTTTTCTTGGGGCAGTTGATGCTGTTTCAGAGGTAAAGACCTCTTAAAGAACTAGCTGTCAATGCAAGTCATGTCACCCTCTCATCCTCATGGCTGGGACCCAGCCCACGTGCAGCAGTGAGTA